CTTCTCTTCTCTCCTCCTCCTCCTCTTCCTCCTCCTCCTCTTCTTCCTCCTCTTCTTCTTCCTCTCTCTCCCCCCCCATTGGTTGGTGTCACCACCACATTCAGAATATCCCTCGATCCCCAGTTAAACCTCTCTGGAAATGCCCTTAGAGACACATCTTTAGCTGTTTTAAATCATATGAGGCTGTGAGATGAGAACTACAATCAAAATTACCCAGCTCACCCTCATTCATTGTTCTGTAGTGTGTTTTCTCTGTGGGGCTCTGGACATCTGCTCATGTCATATTCTTTCTCTGTGGAATCATCTTTAACATGCTAGACATGTCGTGTCTAGAGCAACACAGCACTTCGGTCTTCCTTTGCCTGGCCAAGTCTTTATTTCTCCTTTACTTTTGAAGGATAATTTCTCAGAGTATGGGATTCTAAGTTAATGTTTTAATGTTTTTCTCTTACTATTGTACCCATCCCATGCTGTGTAGTAGCTTGCATGCTTTCTAATTCCTTTTCCCCTAAGTCACTTTCTTCAAGATTTTTGTCTTTGTTTGATCTGCTGAAATGTAAACATTGTGCATCTCTGTGTATTTTTTTTATTTTATTCTTTAAAATTTATTTATCTATTCACTTTACATCCCAATATCATCCCCCTTCTCCTCTCAATACCCCCTCATGCAAGTCCTTGCCCCATTCCACCTTCCCCTTCTCTTTTGAGAAGTGGAAGCCTCCCTCTGAGGGTCATCCCTCCATTAACACCCCCCATACACACACACACACACACACACACACACACACACACAAAGTCACTGTGGACTAGGTCCATCCTCTCCCTCTGAGGTCAGACAAAGCAGTCCATTTAGGGGCATGGGATTCTCAGGCAGGCAGGCAGGCAATGGGGCTCAGGGGCAGCCCCTGCTCCAGTTGTTGGAGGACCCGCATGAAGACCAAGCTGCTCATCTGCTGCATATGTTCAGGGGGCCTGGTTCCAGCCTGTACTCACTCTTTGGCTGGTGATTCAGTCTTTGGGAATCCTCAAGGGTCCAGGTTAGTTGACCTTATTGGTCTTCCTGTGGAGTTCCTGTCCTCTTCAGGTCTCTCAATCTGCCTACCAACTCTTCCATCTAATATTTGGGTGAGTCTCTGCATCTCTTTTTATTGGCTGCTGGGTGGAGCTTCTCAGAGGACAGTTATGCTAGGTTCCTCTCTGCAAGCATAGCAGAGTATCATTGATAGTGTCAGACTGAGAAACACCTAAAGAAATGTTCAATGTCCTTAGTCATCAGGGAAATGCAAATCAAAATAAGTCTGAGATTCCATCTTATACCCATCAATATATGGCTAAGATCAAAAACTCAAAGAACACTACATGCCGGCAAGGTTGTGGAGCGAGGGGAACACTCCTCTACTGCTGGTGGGAGAGCAAACGTATCCAACCACTCTGGAAATCAATTTGGCATTTTCTCAGAAAATTGGGAATAGTTTCTACCTCAAGACCCAGCTATACCACTTCTGGGCATATACTCAAAAGATGTTCCACCATCCCACAAGGACACTTGCTCCACTATGTTCCTAGCAGCCTTATTCATAATAGCCAGAAACTGGAAACAACCTAGATGTCCTTCAAGTGAAGAAATGTGAAAGAAAATATGGTTCATTTACACATTGGAATACTAGTCATCCATTAAAAACAAGGACATCATGAAATTTGCAGGCAAATGGATGGAGCTAGAAAATATCATTCTGAGTGAGTTAACACAGACCCAAAAGCACATGCATGGTATGTGCTCACTTATAAGTGGACATTAGCCATAAAGTACAGGATAATCACATTATAATAAACAGACCCAAAGAAGTCAAATAACAAGGGGTGAGGGCAAGGAAGGATAGTTGAATCTTTCTTAGAAGGGGGACACAAAATAGATGTTGAAGGTTGATGGAAGAAAGGAACTGGGTTGAAGAGGGGATGGGGAAGGAAGTGGGTGGAGGGGAGATCACATGTAGGGAGAGCCTGGAGAGAAAAGGGAGATTGGCAGTGTGGAGGGGCAATCTCTAATAAGTACCAGAGACCTGGGATGGGGGAGGATCCAGAGGGTCTATGGGGGCAACTTTAACTGAGGCTCCTAGCAGTAGGAGATATGGATCCAGAAGTGGCCACTTCCTGTAGCCAGACTGGACTCCCAGTGGAAGGATAAGGACAACAACCCACCCACAAAACCTTTGACCCAAAATGTGTCCTCCCAACGAGAAGTGCAGGAACAAAGACAGAGCAGAAACAGAGGGAATGGCCAACCAATGGCCTGCTGCAAATTGAGACCCATCCCATGGACAAGAACCAATCCCTGACACTACTAATGATAGTCTGTGTAATTTATGTGCGTTCACTGAGCATGGTCTTCTCTGCCTTTCCTGGATCGATTGGTTTTTGAAACCTTGGGGACATTCTTAGTAATTGCTAATTTAAATCTTATTTTTGTACCGTTCTTTCATTTTCTCTTAGTATTTATTGAATATTCTGCATTAAAAAAAGCATTGGACTCAGTGTTTTTAATATTGGATTTTTTCTAGATTGTGCAATATCTCTGTCTACATAAGTCTAACATTCACATATGTTTCATATCTACCTTGTACAGAAAACCTGAAGGAAATTAAATTTTTTTAATTTATTCCTTGACAACTCATACACATATGTAATGCATTTACCCTCTCATTAACTCCTCTTACATATATCCACTCTTGATGAATCCTGAAAGGAAAATTTCAAAATAATCTGTTTATTCTTGAGTATGTGAAGGGTGTGTGTGGGTGTGTGTGCGTATATGCATATTTGTGTGTGCGTGCGTGTGGAGGCCAGAGGCTGAAGTCAGGTGTCTTCCTTGATCCCTCTCACCTCATATATTGAGGCAACATGTATGACTTGCGCCCAGAGCTCAAAATTCTTCTCGTCCAGCTGGCAAGCTTGCTCCAGGGATCCCTTGTTTCGTCCTCCTCCTCTGGCACACTGGGATTGCAGGCAGCCCATGAGCCCACCTGGCATTTGCATGAGCAGGAACCATCTGAATTCCAGCACTTGTGCTTTCGAGGCACACCCCCTTCTGTCACCCTTAACAAGGTCTGTCCTGAGAAGGAATTATTTTGTCAAAGTTTAACATACGTGAGGCTAGAGCTGGAGAGATGGCTCTTAAGAGTAAGAGCACTGACTGCTCTTCCAGACATCTTGAGTTCAGTTCCCAGCAACCACACTGTGGTTCACAGCAATACGTGTAATGGATTCTGATGCCCTCTTCTGTGTGTCTGAAGACAGCTACAGTACACTCATATAAATAAAATTAAAATTAAAAAAAGAATTTTAAAAGTTTAACACACATGCACACACACACACACACACACCACACACACACACACACACCCTGGGCTAATCAACCCTAGAAAGAGGAAAGGAGCTCACAGCATCCCCCCAGTCTAGCTATCATGCCTAAAAGGAGTAAAAAACTTAAACTTCCTAGTGAAATTCCAAGCTCAGAGTCATATTCTCAAAAACATAAAGATAAATAAAAAAGAAAACCCAACTCAACATTTGTAGTAGGGCCATAGACCGTTGTTCTTCACTGCACACATCAAGAAATTGACAGTGGGCACTAAATGTAATGGACAGACAAAATAAATCTAGAAGAAGTTAACCTCTGTAAAAATATAAACTGATAACATATTCCTTTAATTTCTCTCATATATTTGGTGGTGATTGAATGACCGTGGGAAACAAACATTTATGAATTATTCCTTGTAGGAGACTGATCTCTGTATGGCAGTATATAGTTGAGTTCTGATGTCCAGAATCATAAATCAACTGCCCACTTTGTCATAGAGGAATAAGGAAGTGGGTCTGGCTACATGTCAATGGGTACATATTGAACATTATACTAGTGAGGAAATAGGAACATGATGCAACCATGGAATCAATTTATCCATATGTCACTGATCTACAGAGCAGTTTGGGCCTGGTTTTCCTGTTGTTTGCTTTTTACTTAAGCAAGCACCTATATGAAAAGGTGTGAGTAGGTAGAATAGAGAGGTCCAAGGCAAAGAGTGCTTATGGTGATAATCTCCACCTGCCAGCAGCTGCTTATTTATTTTGCATCCTTCTGTGTTGTAAACTAGAAAACACAAGTTTAGAAACGTTAAACTCCACTGGTCATCTTTTGCTGCTTTTTTCGCCACTGTGATCGAATGCTGGCCAGAAACAACTTAAGGGAGGAAAGATTTCTTTCCTCTCCCTGCTTAAGGGGACCCAGTTGCAGTGAGAATGTGGCTGGGACTTCCCGTCCACATATCATGACTGCCTAAGGTCTCACAAGGCCAACTCTTCCTGAAGTGCAGGGCTGCCTGCTTCTGTCT